ACACGAAATAATTCAAAATGGACAACAAACGAAGACTTAACTATCATTATTGAAGCAGTCATTACCATAAAATAGAACACGCATTTGGCCCTAAAAGAAATGAACCATTACTTTTGTTACGCGTGCCGCTTATGCCCTAAACAAAGGCGGGTTTTAACGATATTTAATCTTGAATTAAGAAGATATCTATACTGAAAGAGTATCACTGTTGTCGTATTAACGTTGATGTAGGTAAACTAGACGAGTCGTAAGTTTGTATGAAGTTCTGAATTTTAAATAATGAAATGAATAGTTCTGAATTTTAAATAATGAAATGAAATAGTGAAACTGTAGCTTCAGACATAATTGTGTCATATTGAAATATTTTTACTATATGTGAAGTAATTAAATTTTATCATTGATCGTTTCACATGTACATGGTTATAAATATATTAATGGCAGAACGGATTAGACCCACATCTCAAACTCAAAACGACAAGAAATGAAAGGAGTTTTATGTACCACCTTTCCGCACCGAGTGAGCTAATGAAGACGACCAACGCCATGCAGAGTTTTCACGAGCTAAAAATTGAACGTTTTCAAGAACAAGGGCAATAAATCATACTCAATATTATTCAGTATCGCCCCCAAAGAGTTCAAAAGAAGTGTATGACTGAAGGTTGAATATTTCATGCTGGTGATTGTTACTGTACTGCCAAATATTTTTATTCAAAATAAAAGCTGACAGTGGGGGTATATTACCTTGCCTGGCAAGCTATCTTTTTTTTAATGTGTTTGCGTTTGAGTTTGAGTTCACATGTAATCGCAGCTTAAACCCACTAACTATGTCCGCAAAGAGTTGGGGTTATAGTGAAGATGAACGTATAGATTAAGATTATTATTTCTTTTTTTATGCATATCTATCTTCACCACACCCAACACAAATGTAATTTATCCAAGGCAATAATACTTATAAACAAAACCTAGATTGATCTTATATTTTATTGGCCACGTAGTGTACATGTAGCAATATCATATAACCATATTACGTTTTTGACTTTGATATTGGTGGGTGAAGGTTCACTGACAATCATAAATTTGCTTCAACACACGGCTCTTGTTTTTTTATCTTGAATATTCACCATAATGCAAGCATAGCACCCTTTGTTGTCCCGTCCAATACCACCATCAATCGAGCAAGTAAGATAGCCCTTGCCAATTACTAGAGTCTACAAGAGAAATTCTCCCATGATTACAAAAATGATTGTTGCATATTCAAACGATTGTTTACCTGGCAAGGTAATATACGCCCACTGGCAGCTTTGATTTTTAATAAAAAATATTTGGTAGGACAGAAAACAATAAACAGTATTTGTTAAAATCTGGCAACAATCGTGCCTTTTGGTATTAACGAGCTAAATATTGGAAACGTGTTCAAGAACAAGGGCATAGGGTTCATCCTTTG